TATATGTAATTTACGCTCACGAATCTATCATTTTTCACAATATATCATAATAAAATCACAAATATAAAACTTCTCTTATCTCCTTCATCTTTTATTTTTTGATTATTTTTCTCATCGTTTTATCTGTTATTTCAATTCTTTTAATTCATTTTTCTTTTTTAAATTTGTTTTTTCTTTCTCTCTCTCTCTCTCTTTTATCTTTCGATTTTTTATTCCACCTATTTTTTCGATCGCCATTTCTAATTCGTTTTTTTTCTTTTTTTCAGATTTTTTATTTCACGTCAATTTCTCAATTGCTATTTATTTCGTTTTTTTATTTTTTTTTATTTCTCGATCCCGTCTATTCCATTCTTCTCTTTTCTTTTTTTATTTCTCAATCTCGTTTATTTCTTTTTTTTTATTTCTCGATTTTGTTTATTTTGTTTTTTTATTTTTTTTTATTTATCAATCCCGTTTATTTTGTTTTTTTTATTTTTTTTATTTCTCGATCCTGTTAATTTCATTTTTTTCTTTTCTTTTTTTTATTTCTCGATCTCGTTTATTTCATTTTTTCTTTTCCTTCTCTATTTCTCAATCCCGTTTATTTCATTTTTTTTTTCCTTTTCTATTTCTCGATCCCGTTTATTTCATTTTCTCCTCCTCTCTTTTATTTATCGATCCCGTTTATTTTGTTTTTTTTATTTTTTTTATTTCTCATCTCGTTTATTTCATTTTTTTCCTTTTTCTTCTCTATTTCTTGATTCTGTTTATTTCGTTTTCTTTTTCTCTCTTTTTATTTCTCGATTCCCATTTATTTCATTTTTTATTTTTTTTTATTTCTCGATCCTGCCTATTTTGTCTTCCTCCTTTTTTTTATTTCTATTATTATGGCTTTGGCTGCTCCCACTGTAGCTCCATTCGAATAGACAGTTGACGCTGCAAGAGAATTAATTCAACTTTGACGTGATAATCATGACGATTTTGAGTTCGTTCCTAATAATCACTATAAAAGGATATAGAGAACCATATCCAACCAATTGTTTCTTAATAGAGGGTTCGCCACTTCTCCCTCTCAATGTCGAAGAAAATGGTACTCATTAAAATATGGGTACAAAAATCTCAAGAGGTTGGAAGCTAGGAAGAATCTCCATGATAAACCAATAACAAACTCAACTCTGCATGATTGAATATTTCATGCAGAGTTGGGTGACGAATTTTGGCTTCGAACTGGTAATTATTTATTGAATAATAGTAATAAGAAATA